TCATAGATCAGGAAAAATACTACTTTCAAATATACAATTACATATATGAGTAAGAGGAATTAAAATAATGCTAGATACAAATTTAATAGGTGCTACTTTAAGCTCGTCCACCCCGCAAGCTGAATTGTTTTTAAGGGACATGATGAACATAATTGTTTCGTGCTCAGTTACTGGATAAAGAACGATTGAGTTTGAAATGTCATTTTTTAGGTACTTTCGGTGGCCACCAGGCTGACTTGCAGACGTGGATACACCAGCTGATAAAAAATGAGTCTTAAATCGTGTCGCTAGTTCAGTTCCAGATAACGATTCCCCGTCTATATTTAAATAGGGTAAGCAGTTGTGACGCGGCTTAAGTCTGTGATTTCGTCAACAGTTTCCCATACCTTTTTCGTATCATTTTGCGCGTCTGCAAACTTGCGTTGAAAGAAAGCCTCTTTTGTTTTTCGAATGTCGGAGTTCAGGCGATTTCTATACTTTTTCAAATTAGTTAAAATAGTAGTATCTTGAGTCTGAACAAAGCGATCGTACATCTTATGATTTTCACCTCTCCTACGGAAAAGTTCCTGCGTCATCAATGGCTTTCTAATTTTATTATTGTTTTTTTTCGATCGTAGAGGAAAAGATGTCTCATAGGAATCCTTCAGTGTTTCATAATATAGGTTGTATGCCTTATCTGGATTTCTTTCACACAGGACATTTTCCCAGTTCTGTTTTTGGAATAAGGCATAAAATGTATTCTACGCCTCTTCCGATATATAACGATATAAGCGTGAAACAGGTGTATTATTAACTTTTTTAATTCAGGCAAAATACAAAAAATGGGCATGTGATCGCTTATTCCAGCGCTTATGACTCCCGACAGTACGTCATCTGGGTGAAAGTTTGTTATGCATGGGTCTAATAATGTAGATGAAATGGCTGTTACAAGGGTGGGAGGGAGTATTGATCCCGTTGAAGCATGCAAAAGACTGGATGAGAGTAAGAAACTCTACTTGGTGTGTGTTTTCAACGAGTAAGTCAATGTTTATGTCACCAACAATTATCACTTTGAGACGGAGTGAACTTACATATTGTAAAACAGAGCAAACAAATTCAAAGAATGTACATTTGTTTCCGTCAGGGGGAGCGGTACAGGATAACAACAAGTACACCTAGACAGCTTATCGCAATACATTCATAATTGGGGGTTGACGATGATAACTCCTCGATTAACTTAAAAGCAACACTTTTCTTTATATATATGGCAACACCACCACCAGTCTTCTGAGGTCGATTTACATACTCGTAGTGATACCCATTCAAACAAACGTCATAATTACGAAACCAGGTCTCGGTATAAGCTAGAACATCAAATTTCATGTCTAGGGAATTAACAAAACACTCAACCTCATCAACCTTGTTACACAAACTCCTGGCATCCAAATGAAGAATCGAAAAATTGTTACATACTTTCGAACAAAATGTGCTAAACGCTTTAATATCATATAACTGTGACGTATCAGGTATTTTCGCTCTCTCCGCGCCGTCAACATCCATATCTTAGTTTTTCTTTGAGATATCTTGTTTGCAAGCAATATACAATATCTCAGAGTCATCAGTGTGCCTTGCAAAAGTCTTTCCGTTGTTTGTCCAAGCGTGCTTCCAGTGTTTTTCCTTTTTCTTCGCTACAACTGCGCCCAGCAGTTGCTTTTTTGCAGGAGATAAATGCTCGTTAACGAAGATCGACCTGACACCAGCGTCGGAGAGCCCGAGTATTTCGGTAGTTAGCCCTGCTTTGCGGGAAGCCGCAAGAAACTCGTTGCGCTTTTTTCTTGTGACAAAGCGAATGATTATGTTTCAGTTTCGTTACCACGGGCGGGAACCGCGTGGCAGATGTCAATGTCGGTTTCTTCGAGCGGAACATTCACCAGAATGCCAATGCTTTTAGCTATTTCAGTGGCGTATTTTCCGTTTCCTTTTGAGATGCCTTTTATTTCCACGTTATTCATTCGACTGTACTGGTCAAAGTTCTGGACTTCGGTTTGTGTTTTGTACAACTGTTCCCTCAGCCAGTCATTTTCCTTTTCTAGTTCATTGCAAACTTTCTGAACCCTTTGAACATCTGTTCGAAGCTGCTTTATATCGGCAAGTGCCGCTCTAAAGTCATCTGTGGCACTTTTGCAAGCGTCAACACTAGATTTGAGGGCTCGTGACTCCGCTCGCATTTCCCGTTTGAAATCTTCTATTGCCTTAAAGATTTTTGTCATTTCTTCCTGTGCCATAGTACCACTTGGTGCCGAATAATAATAAAAAAAAATACACGAACACCATGCACCTTGTGTCGGCAGCAGCAGCACACAGAAACCGAAAAGTTGAGGCAGGTTAAAGAACCAGAACTCACCTAGAAAGGGCGAACAAACGTTTTAGGTGACGCGTCAAAGTGCTCCTGCCGCTGCCGACTGAGGAGCCCGTAGTAAGGTAACGTCTTTTAAAGGGATGGTCGTGACGTTACTGCCACGTGGCCTGGTCGTAGTTCGCCGCCAGAAGGAGGTCCTTTTGCCGATGATGACGAGCGAGAAGAGGATGATCACGTTACCGCGTAGATAGGTTCGCACCGGCCACCATTTATAGAATTAGGCCTTTAAAATAACGCGGAAATCATATATCAGTGTCCCTGTGACTAACCTACTCTAGTGTTTTCCAATAATATTTGTATAATACCCTTCTATGAAGAGAAGATAGCAAGACAAAATTAAAATGTATAGTTAAAGTGGACTTTAAACAAAAGCACTAACATGCCGCTACCCAAAAGGCTAGTAGCAGCAGTGGGAGAGGCAGATTCATCTTGATGGGTCTGGATTAGTGAAGAATAATATATGAGTGGACATATGTTAGACATCCATAGAATCAACTAATGCGGATGATTTTAGACTCCCAAACTTTATGGGTATGAGCATTTTAAACCTTTAATATATATCGAGACTTCTTTGCAAAACGTTCGTGACAGCTTCAAAATAATCTCTACAACCAAAAATGCCACTGTATTTACGCTTTAAATAGAAAATTCAGTGTCTACGTATTTCATCGAGTTCAGAGGTTCTTCACTCTGGATATTTTGCTTTTTCTCCGTGTTGCTTGTTGCTTATAAGGATATACAATATTAATATATTTTTTAATTATTTGTTTGATCACATAACAAAAAAGCATAACTGAACCAATAACGTAATCTTGTTGAGGTTAACTATAAGAATACAAGTTGTTACAAATTACGCAGAGTGTTTCGGCCACTAACTCAATATTATTCATTTTAATAAAATTGTTGGTTTATGTTTATGTTTATCACGGTAAAATTGTTGGTTTATGTTTATCACGGCCGCAGGATGCGGCACTCACCGGAATAAATCCTGCACAAAATTTGTTTTCTTGAAACAGGATCGTCTTATATCTATTTAAAGTCGTTTATCCCGGAAAAAAGAAATAGGGGTCTGGCGTTCCCCCGACAAAGTTTCCTTATGTGTGTTACCAAAGCTTGGTATTGCCCTATATCAATGCGTTATCTTTATGCAGATATATAACTAGCCGAAAAAAGACACAATACCTTAATACAGAAAACCTTATGGCCTATAGATTGCCAAAAAATACCCAGCCGTCACCTGCTCAGTCCTTAAATTGAATAAACCATAGATTTTCCTTTCATGCACGAAGAAATGTTTGATATCAGTAACTAGAACTTTATATCTTGTAATGTAACGCCGGCAGTACAGTTTTCCTTTTTTTCTTGTTTTTCTTTCTATTCTACCCAACCCCTTGCCTTCTCTTCCCTTCTGATCCTCGCATGCGGAACGTTTGTAGAACTACAACGTTTTTTTTTTAATTACTACTTTATCGTGTGCCGGTTTTACCATGATGTCACAAATGGGGGGAATTGCTGTTGTACCGGTATTTACGCCATGACTCAAGCTGCATAATATTATTTAACATAAAGATTGAACTTTTTAAAAATTTAGTTCATCGAAAGTGGCTTAGAAACCATAGAGTTCAATAAAAATACTAACAACAACATTAAAAACACATGTTTAATATTTAAAAAAAAAGCGTCTTCATAGTTGGAAAATTAGCATTGCCAATTCCTACAATTTTTGCAGGTTGACCGCTTGAATTCAACCCGAAACGTCGTAGGATGATTCCCGGAAGACATTTTGTGGCCAATAATTGATTTTATTATTTTACTTTTCCATAGTTTTCCACCATATATTTACGACAGGTAACGACCAGCTTGTCACACTCTAAAAAATGCCCGTGCGTTTACTTAGCCGCAAAACACTCAACGATCCAATCACTGCGATCTACGAGATCAGCTCAGCGAATGATGAGGCGCAACATCTGTTTGGACCTAAATATGAAGTCTGCTCTGTGGCATCACGCAATCATGCTTTCAGTGCGTAATGCCATAACGCAAAGTTAATTTTGAGGTCTAAACAAATTTTCCGCCTCATCAATCGCTGAGCTGATTTCATAGATCGCAGAGATTGGAATTTTGAGTGATTGTCGGGGAAAGAGACGCGCTGGCATTTTTTACAATGCACCCTTCCGCTAAAGATAAGCCTTTTGTAAAACAAAAGAATGTTTGCGAAACAACGTTTCTTTTTTAAAAAGATTAATTGCTCTAGATTATATGTTTCTGTAACTTAATCAAATTCTAATTATCCGTCTAATGTTTGAGTTTCCACGCATATAAGCAGTTTATAAATAAAAACAAAAACAAATTAACGACTATATATTTATACACAAAACAAATAACCCAATAAAACCCCGAAGATTTTATATTTTTTAACTTCGGCATTATATATGAAAAAGTATAGCTCACATCATGCCATCTTTGAAATTAGTTACATTGGAAATACAGTTTCGAGCTCAGGAATGGTTCAAAATATGCGCCTAGCTGCTTTGTAGTGGTGTCGTGTGAAAATGTTTTGATGAAATAACACTGCATCAAACTAATATCACAACAAAAAGTGATGCAAACTTTGTTACTCATTTATTTTGTTGCAAAAATACATGCCCGAAGGTGCACTAAAATACAGTGTCAACTGTAATTAGCCGAGTGAACCGGCGACAATGCCGGCAACCTTGTTGATTATAACAGCCTTGGCGACCTTCTTGGCTGCACCGGTAATCTTGTTTCTCCACTTTGCCCACCCGTAGGCAGCCGCTTCGTCGTCGTATTCATCAACACTTTCTGTTTCTTGGGCAAGTTCCTCGGCCACGCCGACCGCCACTTCTTTCAGCTCAGCATTCAGCAAAGCAAACTCCTTCTCCTCTTCCTCAGTGACAGCTGAGTATTTGCCTTGTAGCCATTTTCCTACTTTCTCAAGCGTTCTTCCCACTTTTACTCTCCACGCATATTCATCATCTAAAAACAAGGGTAAAAATCAAATCTTACTTGAGATAAGTACATTTGAAAACGTATTCCACATAAGCTGCTATAAGCGGTAAATATTTGTCCTAAAATAGTTTTTCGGCTAGTGGTTAGACTACTAAAATCCTTCTAAATGAACTTCATCAAGGCAAAATTTTGGGAGAGCTTGTTCATTATTATTCAAACAGGGAGCACCGCGATTCGCAAAGGACAGAAAAAAAACAGTGCACAGACATTCTGCTGTGACTGTGCCCTTGTTTTTGTCCTTTGTGGAACTACACTGTTTCCATGGTGATACTGATAAATAAACAATGATGATAGCTAACTTTCATTTCGTGCAAATCTATACCCATTTCTTCTATATACGTTATGAAGGCGAAAGTGGGGAAATCTACGCGGCAACACGATGTAGTCTTGCTATGTTTTGGCAGTCGTACAATAAAATATATTAATTTTCTCGGCATTTTATTTCAGCTACGCCAACATGCGAAGCAATCTTCAATGCTGTGCAAATAAGAATGAATAAACATGTGGATGAAAACGAGATTAATTATTTATTTTTATTTTTGCAACTGTCGCCAGTCTATCTATTACAATTGTCAACGACAATGTGCGTTTGACTTGAAAACGGAGAAAGATACTTTTACACCTAAAACGTGATATAAAGCACATGCCGAATTTAGTATGAGATCGCTTATTTTAAAGATATAGCGCCGTTGTTATGTTACTCTCGTGTACGGTATATGTACTATCCCAATTAAACACGCGTGGTCTTAGGAAAATGCAAAACAGTGTCTTGTTAAAAAAAAAAGAACTGTTGATTGGGGAAAATACGCGTCCATGGCATATTGACCAAACAACTTATCTTCGGCAATTATCCCGAATGTTTATATTCCCCGACAGTCCGGTCTCACTCAGTTATTTGATAAATGTCAATTTAGTGCTCCGTACTTATACTGACTAGCATTTGCGCCGCACATTCCCGTGATTGCATAAGCATCAATTATGCATGTTAATGTTCGCCACAACTTCATAATAATTATTGATACTTATTGCCTTCTTCATGGCACAAATGTTAGATTATTTAGACACGATTTTTTTTTAAACGATGATCACCACTCTAAATGTTATCTTAATATACCTTTGATTTCAACTGAAGAAAAAATGGAGAACTATGCACTCTGAAAAACGCCTGCGCATATGCTTACCCGCAAAACCCTCAAGGAGCCAATCTCTGCGATCTACGATATCAGCTCCGCGAATGATGCGGCGCATCATCCGTTTAGACCTACAAATGAAGTCTGCTCTGTGGTATTACGCATTGCAAATCGCCATGCTTGCATTGCATAATCCAACAGCACAGACTAAATTTTGAGGTTCAAAGAGACGTTCCGCCTCAGCATTTGCAGAGTTCACTTCGTACATCGATGGGACTGGCTCTGCGAGTGTTCTGCGGGTAAGTAGACGCGCAGGAATTTTTTAGAGTGTGCGCAGTGCTAAACTTTTCACACGCAAGAGTGTGAATTCATACCTTCTTCGGTGACAGCTATCTCGTCGGTTTCTTCTAACTTTTCACTGAAAAAAAAATTAATCACATAGATTGGTCATTTTGTAAAACTTAATTTACACGAAAGTTTGAACTGCTCGTAAGACGTTCTGATATAAATTTGACCATACTTACACAGAAGCAGCATCTGTAAGAGAAAAAAAAACGAAACAACATTGATTAGTCTTATTGATTGATGGGATGGCACTTTGACGCCAATATTTTAAGACTAATCAGAAATTTGGCTAGGTGTTTCAGACAGTGCTCATATCGGTTTTAAATAGAACTGCAAGCCTCTAACTTAGAATTGGCAGGAAAAACAAAAACATAAAATATTGTACAAAGTAAAACGTTAAAAAGAGCTGCATTGGGCATGCAGCTCTTTTTAAACTCTTTCAAACTATCACACTACAAACTAAATTTGCACCCTTACGTTGATATACGGAATTTTTAAAACGTTGATGATAAGTGTAGGAACCGAAGACAGAAGAAAAGGATTTAAACTGTGGCATGGAAAGAAACCAGTAAGCTAGTAAGTTATAACAAACATGTATTTATTATTTATCCAGCTAATAAATCTTCAACGATGTAATGTCTACAGTAAACAATTTATTAAATTGATGTAATTGAACCACAAATTACTAGTTTACAGAAGAAAGTTAGTATAGGTACATCGAGATGTTATTCAATAAAAAAAAGGCGTTGATAATAGCACGAATCTCTGAAAGAAGCAAAACTGTGACTACGCGAGAGAGAGAGAGAGAGGTGTAGCTGCAGTGCCTGCGCATTTGATTTCTAGTTGATAATTATAAAATGGAATGCCCGTTAAACCAAATATTTTGCATTGGATTCTGTTAGAAGCAGTTTTTTAAGCAGCCGTCTTCGAACTGACTGTGATCATTTTGTAATAAGGGTTGAAACGTTTTATAAACATTATTACTCACATGCCAAAGCTGAAAACGAGAGTAACAGGAGGGAGGTGGAGAGCCTCATCCTGATTCCGCTGCCTGAAAGTATTGGGTTCATATGAGCAAAGAGCGGGATTCTCAATATATTAACGGTGCTTCCACTAAAATATATATTACGAGGAGTGCGCAGTCTTGTTTCACCTGTGGAGGGTGAAGCCCATAAAACAATTTTATTTTAAATATACGAAGTGTTTCAGGCATATAAAGTAAATAGGCAACTTGATTTCAAAATAAATTAAGGTTATTTGAAATTTCACATCTAGCTCTTTCAACTCAGCATCATCTAACTGGTCATCTTCTAATTGCCATTATTTTGAGCGCTGGAGAATAGACATGAGAACACTCATTTATATATTAAAAACACGTTGCGGCATTTTTCACTTTCGAAGGCAATAAAAGCACGAACTGCACTCTTAAGTCTGACAGTTCTAGGTACAATGTGTTAAATATAGAGTCTTGAATGTGAGACGACTTACCTCGGGTTTGTTCGAGATGTCACTGATCAAGTACACCTATCCTTTCCTTATATATACATGCAGTCGTACCGCTCAAGGACCAGTGAAATATTATGTCCGATATTTATATAGATTACGGTCCAATTATCTTTGCAATTAAGACCTTTCCGAACATGCAGTAATCGCCTACTGGCTCTCAGGACAGCCCCGATAACGTATCATTTCGGTTACTTGTTGGGGAAATGTCCGGTCTATCAAAGTCGGAAAAACCACGCACATGCTGACCACTTATATCAGTTCGATAAGTAATAGGCGAGCGAGTGCATTGATATTAAGATGAATAAATACGTGATATTTTGTATGGCGCATTTCGAGTTGAATATATATATATATATATATATATATATATATATATATATATATATATATATATATATATATATATATATATATATATATAGAATTGATTTCATATTTCTTTTTTGTTGACTGTTACGCTGTACCAAACTACGGTTAATATAACCTTTTCTTCAGAAATATTATTGTTCTGTATGTCCTATTTCTAAGTCAACTTAAAAAAAAAATAGAATCTGCTCCCTACAAGAGCCTTACAATACTGATGCGTATGCGTTACTGAGAGAAAATTATCATTTTCCCTTTTGGTTCACGGTCTTGTTTCTTGAACATTCAATAATCATGTTGCCTTTCATCAATGATGCATTTAAAGATTATTCCTAAATTTTAACCTTCTTAGTGAATTATTGGCTTATTATGATACTTGTATAAGGAAGTGGTCTCAGGAAACAGATGAAGCAAACAAGCTTTTTCATAAAAGTCGTATATCCGGGCGTTTCCACACTGAGCATGTGGAACTAAAAATGTTCATGTTTCGGGGAGAAAACACATGTTGACAGTGCCATGCTACCGACTGGTAGCTGCACTACCGTCAGCGCTTAGCGGAACAACACTAAGTACAATATGTAAAGAAAAAAAACCTTTTACAAGGTTCATTTTCACCGGAAAAATTAACTACGTACGCTTCGCCGAAAGCTCATTTTCCACCCAAACGTTGCGCTAGAGGTCTGAACGCGATGCCAAAGTTTCAGCACTAACCGTTTTCTTATTTAATAATAATAACCGATTTTCTATACATCTATTTGGGAAAATGGCGGCCGACAGAGTTCTCGACTACGGGGAGCTGTATACGGCACCGGAAATCGAAAACAGGCAAAAATTGGCGACATTTTCACTTAAACACATTCAGAAAATAATTCTTAACATTTGATGAAGACATGTGTGTTCGTGATGAAACATTGGCAACTGGTTCGGACCTCTTGCTCTACACTTGGATGGAGAATGAGCGTTCGGCGATTTATAGTTTATCTTTGCGGTTAGAAAAAAAACTTTAATTTTTGGGGGAAGACACTCGTTATTTTAAAGCCGACCGAGGCCGATGGTGCAACCCGATGTTTCCAATCAATCCGCCACAAAAGTGTATCCTCACAGCGATTGGTGTCTTTGTGGTGTTGTGATTACGGGCTACACCAATCACCAAAAAGAAAGTTCACGATCACTGCGCATTCACAGCGCTTTACCGGATCAGTCCGCCATATCCAACGCAAAAAGACGACGAGTGCGGTGACTACGAACATTTGGCGCTGCTCAATCGACTCCGCCAGCTTGTAGCGTCGGCTACGATTGGAAGGAAAGTAAAATATGGAATCAACTTTAAGGTATGCAGTTACACATCTGGAGTAACGTTTTTATTTAAAAAAAAATGACATCAGAGACACGTCATAGACGTCGTTGAAGATTTCCGCGCAATCTTGTAACTGACCTCTTGTCTTTACACCTTTATTCAGTACGTGATGCAGCACACTCATACTAAGGGGTCGAGTGTACCATCTGAACAAAAGGAAGAGCGAAACCCGTACACTTGCGTGCATTTTGTTTTTCAAGAAAAAAAATGCGGGAACTTGGCTGTTTACAGGATAGATTGTTTTTAACGATTCAGCTTTTTACTGCAGTCAGGGCGGCAAAAAATACACGGATCGAAAGCGCAACATTTGGTGGCTCAGTATCGGTCTTTCCCTCGGTTGCAATGCCGGTGAATAAAAAAGTCGGGTGTGCCAAACCTTAGAGCATAAAAGTTTTTCGTCAAACATGACGTGTCGTAGTCACCATGTACACCGTCTACCTTATTACTGCAGACGCGCCGATTGCGACCTGTTTGTACGTTGTACATACTGAACGATCGTACTGTGTACGCACAGTTCTCAACAGTGGACAGGCACTCAAGATGACGAGAGGGTTGACACAATTTTAAAATTTTGACTTACAACAAAAGTGCGTAATTTAATTAACTGCGGATTTTTGTGTTGACTTTTCAAACCTATTTGGGGCATTTAAAAAGTGTCATGTTAGCAAAATTGTTAACTTTCGCTATATAAAGTTTTCTTCATCATTTTTTGTTCAAACATTTATTGAGTGGAGTTCACTTTCAAGAGAGCTATCTCCGCTTCTGACGACGATGTTTCTTCAGAAAGAAACTGGAAGTTGTATTAAAGTATAGAGCGTAATGTTCGTGTTTTTTTATTTTCTTTCTTGTCTATATGCATGCATTTTGAATATGCTCATTATCTGCACGCAATCTATGTATTCATCCTCCTTGCATAATACCACCTTTTCGTGTAAATGAATTTTGAATATGTTCATTGTGTGGACGCCATCCATGTAGCCCCTGCGTAATGCCTGGCGGCACAGGAGGTACTTGTATAAATGAATAAATAAATATATTCGTAAGAATGTTTGAGCGTTTATCTAATTAGTAAGTTCAAAGATATTATTTCAATTATGAACTTTCTGGGCATCATAAAAAACCGCTAAAAAAGCCTGCTTGACAAAAATCTGCTTATAAAAAAACACTTATTTTGGAACCACTTTTAAGTTTCGATTTCCTATCAAAACGAATCTTCGGGCCAGCGGTCTACTTGTCATTAGATAAATTGCTAAACAATCACCTCGCCTCGCTTCCAGAAAGAAAAAAAAATATAGCATGTGCCAAAAAATGAATGTTTTCTTTTTTGAACGATATTCCAACAACTATAGTTTTGACACTTGGGTTCACATTCGTCATTTGAAAAATTCACTACTGCCCACGTGAATTTCACACTTTGACCACGCTAGCAGGACCACACGCGCGCCCAACTACGGTTTAATAAAACCTATAAAATTTCATTTTTTAGTTCTGCCCGGTCCAAAATAAAGAAAATTGTATACACTAAAAAAATTTTTTATGTTCAGTCTTCAGCCAGAATAGAGTCACTGGAACTTTTTACTCTGGGAACCAGAGTAAAGAATTTCATTCACTCCGCTTACCGTAAATAAATCCCGTAGAATCCTGTTCTGAGTGGCTGGTTTAGCCCATGGCGGAAGTTGTCAGTTAGCTAAGTTGGATATAGACTGAAAACACCTACAAACGAATATAAGAGCTTTCCGCCTTACCACGGGTACGCACGGGCTGCAACTCTGGTCATCGATCAGTTAGGACCGAAGGGAAGGTGCGTTACGTTTCTTTATAATGTGGATGCTTGGGCAAGTTGGTACTTCATGCTTGGATAGAACAGCGCGGATGAACAGCCACACTCACATGCACACAAGAAGGAGACAGAGCGCTGCGAGTCTGTCTCCTTCGACTGTTCATCCGCGCTGTTCCATCCAAACGTTTCTTTAGTTTTCTTTTTATATCAAGTAGCCGCTAATCTGGTTCGCCAAAGAAGATTGTCGGCTCGTTCTCTCGCTCCGGTTGCGCAGGTGCAGCGTTTAAAACACTACGCCTCTGTCGCTAAGCCTAACACTCGACTTCAATAGGCCTGTTCGATTCGGCCAGAAAGTTCTGAACTAGTTCTGTCCGAGTTCAGAGGAGTGCAGGAGTCGTGCAGCGGCGGCGCAGAACCAGTGCAGCCGCCGCGCTAGGACTGGCGCTGTGATCGGCTTTCCGAGCGGAAGCGCTGCATGGGTGTCGTCTGCATCTGTTGGCTCTTGTTTCTCCTCGCCACGTTGGATGCGACCTTTATTGAGTCGCGGTTTGATGAGACCATTCGTGTTTCCTTAGTTTTAAAGTATAGTAACGGAATCTTCCCTGTGAATATTTTTTTATTCGCGGCTACTAAAAACGTTTTCTGCACGAAATGTGTTTCTGTCTGCATTTTTAACGGCTGTTCAGTTCATCTCGTTTCCATAAGCGCTCGTGTCCTTCACATTCATTTAGCAACAGTAGATTCATTCCAAGTCTCCCGAGTTTCGCATTTCGACGATAGGGTCGCGGCATCAGGATGATTTTGCGTCGGGAGTCACTGGCGGCAGCGCGCGGTCGATAGCGGTCACCTCGAAGACGAAGGCCTGACGATAGCGTTTTGGCCAATACAGTTATCAACCGTAACTTTGGCGTCAAGCTGAAGCGTTTATGCTGATTCTCAAGAAAGACCTGCATGGAACTACCAAGCCAATGCCGATTCTCGGCGCCGTTTTTCCCAGGTCCGTTAGTGGGCGTCCAGATATCAGCGGACAAAGCATGCGGTATTATGCTCAGCTGCGGGGCATGCGAGGGCCAATATACTAAATTCCAGACCTCTGCAATGTATCGGAGTCGTCAGAATGCATCCAAGAGCAAGTGAAGGCGGGGCCTATCAAGAGGGCACTACCTTTCCCGTGTTGCTAAGGGAGAATATCAACACTGCGGATCCCCACATAGCATCAAAAAGAAACAATTTACGTGAGCCAGTATTTCAACACTTACCTCAGGGAGCCAAACCTAGACGAGCAGGTGCCTAAAACGCTTTCAGAATACAATAAAATTCCTACCCCAGTTATGATATCAATTCCGCGTCCACCGCGGGTACGTTAGTATCATAAATGAGATGAAATGCAACGTCCGTATCGGCTTTATTGTTATAGCCTCGTCCCACTAGAGCGACAAACACCGGTTTTTGTCCGACGACACCACAAAGTTCCGTGTCGCCGATGCTGTCCCACTGCAACGACCGACACCCGCGACAATCGCCGACAAGCGCCGACAAACGATCGACGAC